CCGTGAGCTTTATACCTAGGCCCTCTGACCCCCACCCCTTCCCTCGAAAAAAAGGAAAAAAAATAGTTATTACGTCTCAGCGTATACTTCAGCGGAATATTCACAAGAAAAGTTTCACAGCGGGCGGAACTTGTCATAAAGTCCGCGATAATGAAACCCACCCATTTAGAGGGAAGATATGATTGGTCAATTGTACTGTCATTTGACATTACTCTCTCGTTCAGTTACTATAGCGGGCCCTCTGTGAATCGCAGAGAGGGCCAGACCTTCTTTCATGTAACCCTTCACATTCAAACAGAGACCGAACAGGCAGATTCGAAGGATTTATTTCTTTGGAAATTTTATTTTATTAAATCAAGTTTTTTTTCCGTAAAACTAATGAAAAATATAACAAAAATAATATAAAAAAAATATATATTTTTAAAAAATATAGTTTTTTTAATGTTTTTAAATATTATTTTTTGGAATATCTTAGGCCCTCACAGAGGGCCTAGAGGGCCCTGACGGCTCGCCACTGATCATTAAGTTATTCGATCAAACATCAATCACTACAATGTCTGATTACAATTGGTGTGAGAAAACCTTTGAAGAAATGTTCACATATTGAAAATATAAATAGAGTGAGCAGCTTCCTCAAGAACTGGAATGTGTTTCACACTTCAAAGCAAACCTTACATGAGCGTCTCTGGCTTACAGGCAGAGGCTCTAACACACACACACACACACACACACACACACACACACACACAGACAGTATGCACTCTTAAAGAACACATGCATGACTTTCATATGTATCCTCACATACACATGTGGTCATGAACAAGCATACACAGAGATATTCACATTCAAAAGAGGAATGAGAATATGGTAGGCTTACTCTGAAGTGTAATTATTTAAAAGCACAGTAATGCTCATCAAGGAATGATTGCAACTAGGATAGGTTTTTTCAAATGATATGTTCCTGAAAATGTAGTTTTGAAATGTTTTCAAACTAAACATGAGGCATGATACAGACCCGCTGACACACCATCAGAGGGCCTTGTCCACAGAAATCCTCACATAAGTCTTCTCATAGCATCTGAAGCCCACTGAGAGCAGAGGATCAAGCTCTCTAACAAAAGGTCAGTGCCCCACAGATAGAGGACTTAGAGATGCTCACAAATAACTGGACAGTCTTGCTTTGCTTTCTAACCGAGCAGCTCACAAGCAACTACACTAATGCAGCTGTGGAGTGAATTAAAAAATATCCAAGTTAACAACATCCTGATAAAAGCATGCAAAATCAGAGGATATGTAATGGAAATAATGACATTTATTTAGTTTGTTAAGATATGCTTTGAAATAAATTATAAATCAATAGTAATCCTTTCTTTGTACAAACGCAATGCTGCTGTTGAGATACATTCAAACAATCCAGTGTCATTCAACTATAGTCACTATTTCAGTGACCTTGTTTGTTATGTCATGTCATGACCCTGAGAGGCCAAAGGTCACATCAGACTCACAACAAACAGCTGTTAACACGTGTGACTAATGCCACATGGATCAGAGCTGGGTTTCTATTATAGTTCCCGTTAAAAGTCTATGAAACCTGAGTCAGGGCGTCCGCAGGAGTGAAATCACAAAACTGAATTCCAGGAACTAGATTTCTCTGAAACTCACACAACACACACATTCACACACACACACACACACTACCCTGTGGTTCTTAAAGAAAGACGGACTCATAATAAACTCATTACAAACCTAATACACATAGTTCTTTTTTGTGAATTCACAGTGTCATCAAGAGTCATTATATCGCTTAAGGACTTTATATTATCCCTCCGAAGCATCTGTAAATAATGATTTGTGACACTTTAGATCAAATGTACTGAGAGCTTGAAGCTCATGCTTGGCTGGAATAGTTGACTGCACAGTTCAGAAACCAAATTGTTGTTGGCCCCTTCTCCTGAATCCTCATGGTACCAGAAACGTCAGAATATAACATTTGACAACTGTCTGTCCACAAACCGCCTTATGTCTGCTGGGCCTACATTTTGTAATTTCTTTCTTAAACTAGCCAAATTTGGGCTAGCAAAAAGAAAAACAATAGTTCTCTTACATACATACAGTAAATCTGAATTAAACTTTGGAGGGAAATCAGTTCATACTGTAGATTACAAATACTTGAACATACATGCCAAGGACAGAAACAGAACATAACAAATGAATTATAAAGAAAAAATGTCCACACATGAGGAAAAACCTCTGAAGGATGTTGAAAGAGTAAGGCGATATTTTTTTTCCACTATTCCTGTCATTCACCTCCCACAGAGTTGGGCCCCCATTCATACCAGAGGTGAGAGTGGGAGCTGAGGCTGAATGTGTCTACAGATTCCTCAGAGCCTACCAGCTAGCTGTGACTTTTAACAGCCGGCTCGTTCCTCCACACTCCTTAAAGCCCACACCAAGAGGACACAGAAGAAGAGAGCAATATCAGATTATGGTCACCAGCTGTTGTCCAGTTATCGAGTGGTTAAACTGTATATGCAAACATGTGGAATTTCCTTAAGTCGAACAATATGCTGCAGAATCACAGTCATTTAAAGAACCACCAGGAATCCCAATATTTCCTCCACAGCATTACACTTTTGAAGTTTGAAGAATAATACAGCTGCTCTTGAAGTACTCCATCATCCGCAGTAAATTAAAGCCACATGGAAACGGTTTCCTTGGCCGGAAAGAAAACACACCAGATTACATTTTTTGGTGAGCAGAATCACAAACAAACAAATCACATTGGACTGACATAATCACATAGTTCACATGCAAATACACACAATACCTAGCTATGCCCCTCCCATTATCTCCTCTCGCCCCTCTGAGTGACTTATCACTGCGATTGGTCACCTGTAAGAAAAGGTTTATGGTGATGACTTGTAGTGATGAAAATAATCTCTACTTTGTGCAAATATGATTCTCTGTTAGCAGAACACATTTTATTGTTTTATCTGGGTTATTTGGTAAGTGGCTGTAAACAAGCTTCTGCCAATATATCCATCTCTCATCATTACATTTCATTTAGCTGACGTTTTTATCCAAAGCGACTTACATGTTGGTGAATCAAGTGTTACACGTTTATGAGAATGTCTTAACCCCATCGACTGTTACATCACTCTTTATCAGAGAAACAGTGGTTTCTGGTTGAGAAACATCACAAATAAAAAAACATCACAAATAAAAAAATAATAATAAGACAACAGGAAATAGAAGAGGTGGTGTTGTCCACATGTGTTGGTGTGTTGTCTCCAGATGTTCAAGGAAACAAGCATGTGTTCTTGTGTGTGTGTCTCTTTGTGCATGCATATCTGTGTGCATGTTTGTTGATGTTTAATAGTGTAGATGTGGTGAACCAGCTGAGAAAAGGAATGTAGAATTTGAAGGCCAAAACACACATCATATGGTTTAAGACAGATTGAGCTATGCCATCTATACTGCTTAAAATTAACAACTCAGACAGGTTGATGGTGACATCCACAGTGAGCTACCTTTGCTGTAATATTGTAAATCACTCTGCTGTGGGAGGATAAAGGAATTCTGATTCTGATAGTCTACATGCAGAATTTATTTTATGTATTTATTTAAGGTCGTTTTCAAATTCTAAAACTATATCAGGGGTGCTTTACAAAACATATTTGTTTTCACTTTCTATAGCTGTAAATTTACCATTGAGTCAGAAAATACAGCCATGTCAAATGTATCTCTGTAACTACCAAGCACTGTAAAGCAGGAGCATGTGAAGAAAGAGCCTTTGGCCTGTATATGCTGATTTGTGGCCGCAGAGGAATTCAACAAACCAGTAAAAGAATAGGATTTTTGGGAAAAGACAAAAACGAAATGGGCGCCACATGCCTGGATTGATGGCTGGTTTGTGGTTTAACATAAGCAAAACACAAAAATAACAAAGGGATTTATAGGTTCCATTTGGTGTGAGAGAAGAAAGTAAAACGCTTATTAAACTAATCTGGAACACATTTGGACATCGTGACTGAATGGTTCTTTCATTTGAGAAAAAATAGTTTGTCATTTTTTAGGCACTATATAGGCCTACTGACACATCTCCATATGTGATCACTTATTACTAGAGCCAAGATCATGTATACATTATTTCAGGATCTACTGTTTATGTTATGAATCCCATCCGTAAAGCATTTATCTTCTAAAATACGCTTCTGTTGCTACTATTTCTTAAATGTTATCACGTTAATCATATTACTGTTTTGACTGTAGCCTACTTAATACTCGTATCCCGATAAATGTGTTAGAGGAAGTTTTAAAAGTATAACACATGCGTGGCATTTGCAGCAGCCCACTTCTCTGAGTATTTCATGGTCGCATTTACTCTAGGATTACATTTCAGCAGATTACAGGGGGGCGGAGGAGACCAACGTGTGCGCTAAACTGCAGGCGCTCACAGAAATTACTCCCGTCCCACTGCACCTCAGACACAGTGGACTCATCTGAGGATCATACTGGAGAACTACTGAAACGGAATATTTACCATTTACTATTTCATTTGGATTGTTTGCATTATAAGTGCAGCAGCAACTTTTCAACTGCGGAAAAGGAAATCGTAGGTAAGTATTTTTCCCCTGTATTGTCTGCTAGTAATTACAATTAGACTAGAGAGAAAATATTTCTCATTTTTGCAGGAATTTATTATGTTTGACTTTATCAACATAATGACTTTGTGCCATGTGCGTATAATAATGAGATATGAATATGCACATCATTCATAAAATACGAACTTTAATTATGGAGTGATGGAAATGTAGAGAAAACTATCTAAAAAACGTTTCCCAGTTTATTTATTTTGATCTATCTATGTTTGTTTGTTATTTACATTTGGGGATACGCTACAACACTGTGCATCTCTCTCCAGGTGGTGGTTTGATTAATGTTTAAGGACACAGTCTAGTCCCCTTGTCCGTGCAGCTGAAGCCTCCTCTCCGTGCACAATGCGCGTGTGTGGCTGCAGCGCTCCGAACCTGCGGAGGTTTCTGCTGAGGGCTCTGTTGTTCTTGGCTGCTGTGTTGCCGACGAGCGGGGACTGCCCCAAATCATGCGCCTGCAACGTTCCCACTGAAGTGCACTGCACCTTCAGATACCTGACCGCAATACCTGACCACATCCAGCCAGCTGTGGAAAGAATTAACCTCGGGTGAGCTTTCGTTTTCTTTGCAGCTTTTAACAGATTGGAGAAATGCAGATTGCCTACTCTGGGGAAGGACTGATTTTGATGTATGTTTTTAAACTACAGACTGTGTAAGCACAAAGGAACTAGTGTTAGCTACTGCCTTTAGAATTAACTTTTAACAAAAGTGTAGTCTAATGCAAATTTCACCACTAGGCTACTAACAGTTTCTAACAGCTTCTCATGACTATATCCTCAGCTTCTGGAAATTGTTACAGCTAAATGGCCCACTTCCTGTAGCCAAGGAATAGCTGCCCTGTTCTGTGGCCCATTAGCAAACCTTCTATTAGCTGGCCTGCCAACAAAATGTTTACCCCGGTTGTCTTACAGATACAAAAATATATTTTAAATGGCCTTACCTGCAAGTTTGTGCTTTATTCCTTTCTCTTTTCACCTGTCAGGGAGGAAAACACTTGCAACATTTTAATTTGCACATCACCTGTAGTGACCTTTCATAATTGTAATACAAATCAATAGCTTGCACACTGCAGGGCTCCATTGTTCACTCCAATGTTTATTTCAAGGTGATGTTCCTAACGTTAAACTTGAGGAAAGGTTCAATCAGCCATTTCAACAAAACACCTGTGAGGAAGTGTAGGACCTGTAACTAAAGTATCTCCATGCTTTGGTTAAAGGTTTTCTTGGAAAATATATGTTTAAAAGTACATATCAATTATTTTCCTGCAGAAGATATTTGAACTATTACCAGTACCTTTATGATTATAAATTGGATGATAGTTAGAATGAAAAACAATAAATAATAGTTAATATAAAACAGGGAGTGATAACAGAACTATTTTTAATTGATAATATTACAAACTGGAATCAGTAATTAGTATAAAGCCCATCACTGATTACCAATGTCAATGGTAAAAGTAATAAATAAACCCACAGTTATTTCTCTGATTATCCCTGTATGTGCATCTACAGATGGTTTAATTGATGAATCCCATACTGAGCAGCACAGCTTAAACTCAGAAATGTTTCTTGTCAAAACATGCATTATGGTGACATAATCAGTAATGTACAAGCATAGCTCTCTCATCATTAACACGTAAAGTAAATAGTATGTGGTTCATTTGAGGTGATAAATTGAAGTCTGTCTTTGATTTTCTGTTTTTAGGTACAACAGTATAACTGTCTTAAGGGAAAATGATCTTTCAGGACTTGGAAACTTAGAGTTGTTGATGCTGCATAGCAACACTATCCACAGTATTGATGACAGAGCCTTCCAAGACCTCAAGTCCTTACAGGTAAACTCATGTGTTTTTCAGTCCTTTGAGCACACATAATCCTGTCTTGTAATATTGAATTACAAGTTTTCTGTACCATCAAATAAATGTTGTCTGAAGCCACAAAACATATTTGATAACACAGCTTATAACGTTTCACGTAGTTTTATTATTTATGTACACAAACTATAGTTTGTTGCATGTTGCATTTATGAATGACAATAAAGAAAACTGTATAATAGTCAACACTCTTTTTCAATCATGGGTCCACAGGTCCTGAAGGTGTCCTTTAATAAAGTAAAGGAGATCAGGAAAGAGACGTTCAAAGGTCTAGACAGTTTGCTGAGACTCCACATTGACCACAACCACATTGAATTCATCAGCCCAGAGGCCTTCTACGGCCTAACCAGACTACAGTTGGTCCATCTAGAGGGTAACCACCTCCAGCAACTCCACCCAGACACATTCATCACACTGAGAAACAGCCAGGTGTTCAAGATATCCTCCATGAGAAACATCCACCTGTCGGATAACCTCCTCACTACTCTGCCTGAGGGTATCTTCTCAGGCTGCAGCCAGTTAGAGAACCTCTTCCTTCATGGCAACCCATGGACATGTGATTGCCGTATGAAGTGGTTCTCAGTCTGGGTACAAAGGAACACAGGTGAGGAATAAGTGTTTGCTTTATAAAGCAGAGATGTACGAGCACCCCCTCTTTCTTTAGTGAACCATTTTCCCATTCATACATGCAAAATAAAACTTGATCTAAACCTTTTTGAAGCTACATTTTCTAGCAGCTTTGATAAGACACATCTGGTAACAAGTAGCACTTTAATGTTATTCTACTGAGACAAAAATTGGTATGTTTTTCTCTTACTATAAATGGTAATAGTGCATGGTATTGTATCCAAAGCACGAAAGGCATTTCTAAGAAAATGAAACACTTAAATCTTATATCTAAAATAATAATTGTCTTTTTCGGGTTCACAAGTTTTCGTTTTGGTTTAGTTGGCCCATAATTTGGAAAATTGCAAATGTTATTTTCTTACATGCCAGTAACTAAACACTACAACTCGAATTAAATGTTTCCAGGTGTGCTGAAATGCAAGCGAGACAGGAGATATCCCAGAGGCCAGCTGTGTCCTGTTTGTGAAAGTCCTGCCCCTTACCACAACAGGCCTCTATCTCTTCTCCCTGGTGATGCCTTCACTTGTACCAAACCATGGATCCAACCCCATCTAAAGAAGAAAAACATCAGCCTGGATGAAGGAGACTATACTCCAGTTTCCCCCAAGGACTTCATTGCCCCATTAGGCTCCATACAACTGAAGCTGACTGACCAGTTACACAGTGATGCCAGTTTGTCCTGCACTGTCCAGATGCCCTCTGCTTTGGAGAACCTGACACAAACCTTAGAGGAGGGGGAGGGGAACAATGCCACCATGCTTACTGCGAGCATAAGTACATATTTGGTGTGTATCATTGACCATGAACACATACAGCAGCTGTGGCAGATGCTGGCCACCTACAGTGACTCTCCCCTAAGACTGGAGAGAGGCTTAATGCTGACGAGAAGCCCAGAAATGGTGTACAGGTATAGTCAGATGAAGAAAACAAATGAGGGAGAGGAAGGAATTTATACAAACATTGAGGCTGAGATTAAAGCCTCACCTGCATGGTTGCTGCAGGGAGAGGTGAGCTTCCAGCTGGACCGCACTACTACCACCTTCTCTACTCTGCACATTAAGTACGAGTCTGTGGTCAACCTACGTGTGGAAAACACATCACCTAAGAGGGACCGATATTCCTGGACCATGATCAAGCGAGACAATAAAACACAGACTGAACACACTGTACTTACAGGTAAGACTTTCATGCTAAATAAATTAGCTTTTGTTGATATGACCTTCAATTGCATCTATAATGAAACTGTTACTGATGCATACCAATCTACTGAGCATTTCAACAAAATAACTCCAAAAAGAAAATGTGTTATATTAAATATGCTAAGGTGATATAGTTGTCCTTTTAAAACATTTATTTGATTTTGATGTAGGTGGTGTGGTGCAATTGAGCTGTCAAATCCAGGGTGAGCCAAAGCCTTTGTTGGAGTGGATTTTACCAGATGGAAGTAAGGTCAGAGCTCCTTTCTCCAGTGATGACAGGAGGATCATAATCACTGCTGAGGGGAAGCTCACTCTACGGGGTGCAGATGCTTCAGACACTGGCCTTTACCGGTGCATCACCACAAACTACCTGGATGCAGATGTCCTTGTTTTTCGAGTGACAGTTCTGTCCCCCTTTGTGGAAGAATCTGATGTTAACGGTGTCCAACTCTCACAGCCACTTGGTGAAAATCTGTTTTTTGACTGTAGCTCCTCGGGAAGTCCTGAGGCGTCGGTCCAATGGATACTCCCTGACCACTCAGTAGTGGGCAGTTCTCATGGGAACAGAAAAGTGTATGATAATGGAACCTTGCTGGTTAATGGTCTCACAGCAAGGGACAGTGGATTTTACAGATGTTTAGTTTCAAATCACCTCGGATTTGATTTGCTCGTGTCTCAGGTGACAGTGACTGGAGAAACATCTGAAAGGGTGACAGTTTTGGACAGTGAAGGATCCGGGCTGGAAATGGAGGACAAGGTTTACCTTAGCCTAACTGAAAACACAGACACTCTCAATGAGATCCCCTCCTCCAGTCCCTCGAACGGAACAAGTCAGGAATCCAGAACCATTACCTCAGATCGGCCTTACCCCAGACTCAGGTCACAGGTTAGGGTAGGTGCTGGAGGTAGACTCGGAAAGAAAAGGAAGGGCCCAGTCAGCAACAGACGCATCTGGAGTAATAGGGTGTTTGATAAATCTTCCAGGAAAGTGGATGCGCAGAAATTTGCTGAATTTATGAAAAAGGCTCAAGATGGTTTGCGAATAAAGGCTGGCGCAGAGGAAGAGGGGATACAATATGATCACTTGAATACCATCCTATCTGGTGATGGTGAAATTGGCTCTGGTGAGGGTCATAGTGAAAATAATCTGCCAAGAATAGTCAAAGCAACCACAGAAAATCCACAAAAGGGTATGATGATTGGACAAGAGAACAGGCTTCCTGAAACTATAACAACTACTCATGCAGGTCAAGATAGTAAGGAAGCAACAATGGAGGCACATCAAACATTTGGCACGGAAACCACAGTCAACAATCCTATCGATTCAAGTCACGTGACAGAAAACACAAACACACTTACAACAGAATCCTATATGCAGTCAGATTCGACACCAATAAAGTCCACATTTACACACAATCCATCAGGAAAGAGGGACACACAGAGTGACGCAGCAACACCACATAGCACAATTGTACTCAACACAGGGCTTTCAAGTTTTGATGACACCACAGATTTTTATACTAAGGAAAGTACTTCCAAGCCAGGCTCAAACAGGCACCCTGTCACACTCCAACTTACTGTGACTGACACGTCACAAGAAACACAGCTCCAGTTCTCAGGAGCACAACCTGCAGAGTCAGAGACGTCAACTGGGACGTCGCTTTCATTTACCACAGACCCTCATGTTACTCCCATGATGGATGGTCCAGGACCATTGGAGCTCATTGTTCACACATCTACAGACCCAGAAAGCCAGACAACATTCACAGCCGTCAGCACAACAGAGAGACATCAAGATGAGATAACCTTCCACACTACCCAAACCATCAAATCCCCCCACTTGCCGCCCGGATCAACTATCATCTCCCGTCAGCAAATTCAAATCATCCCAAACAAGAACAGCAGAGGTGGGGGGCGCAGGAGAACCTTTCATGGCCGCCGGAGGATCATTAAACCCAATAGGATCACTGACATACAGTCCTTCATCAATAAAGTGAAACAACCCTCAGTAAAGAAGGAAGGGAATTCCACAGTGCCATATAGAATTGAACTGACCACAGGTGAGGAACCTTGTTTTGTGAATTGTCATCATTCACTTTATGCTTTTTTCTTTAGTGTATACTTCTTGAGCTGATCTTTTGTATATATTTCTTGTCTTTTCATGTTTTCTTCATTTTGCCCTCAGCGTGTGACTGGAATGAAGACAAAAAGAAGACCGAAACCACTGATTTGCAGATGGTTACACCAACAGCTCCATCTGATTCATCTTTACACAGGACAGAGAGACCTTCCTCTGCAGCTTCTACCACAAACTATTACATTACTTCAAATTCTCCATTCACCCACACTGAGTCTAAGTCAGAAGTTTCTAGTGGTTACATAACCTCTGCTGATGCCCCTGAGTTTGACCCTACAATAGATCCATTTTTTACCACAAATGAGGAAGAGTCCATCTCCAGCACAACCACTACTACAATCGCCTCAAATGTTATCCGTGGAAGAATTCCATGGAACAGGCTGTTTGGAGGCAGAGAGAGGGAAAATATACATGGCAGGCTTAAGAAGCCACTTAACACCCAAAAAAACATAACTACAGTTGACACTACAACAGTGACGCCAACCACGACCCCTGCAGCTCTGCCGACCACTACTGCAAACTTCCTATCAGACCCTGAGACTGAGTCCCCATCCAGACACGCAGAAGGCAAAAAGGGCTCATTAGACGATGACTATGGAGATTTATCCTCTGCAGTCTTTGAATTAACAACACTGCAACCTAGCTTTCACCATCTAACCACTCCCAGCCCATACTATACCTCCAAGTCTGCCACCACTGCTGAAACACCACCTAAATCACAGACTCTACCTTCCCCCTCTCCTGTCAAACCACCTTTAATTAAAAATACTGATGAAGACTTATCATCTGGGTCTGGGGGACTTCCTGATAATTTGTTTGTATTCAGACAGACGCCTGGTGGGACAAGAAGACAAAAAGGTCGTAGAAGGAGGCCCTTCAGGGGCAGGAGGCCCTTCAAGAAACCTGCAATCACTCAATTAAACCCTACTAGCACAACTGAGGCTTTAATTACAACTTTGGAAACTACAATGGAGACAACCACACTGCCACAACATACTTTTTCACCTTACAACCCCCTTTATACACCATCTAGGAAAGAGGACAGCACTCCAGTAGTTATTTCTGCTGACCAAACATCAAAGGAGGAGACTGACTTATATGAGGAATTTGATTGGAGCACATCTAGCAGTTTACCTGCCTTTACTACAACCAAGACACCCTTGATCCCTTCAACTGCATTAACCCCTACCACCTCATTCATGCCAATTACCACAAAAAAATTGCCCTACACAACCGCTCGGACCGAAGTGCAGAGAACACCAATACAGAGTAACACTGGTCACGCCACTCTTAGACCACCAGTGAGGAAAATAAGACCAACTGTGCTGAGTAGTGGTGCCAGTGACATTGCCGATAAAGAACTTGACGCAATGACCATCCTGACAGATGAACAGGGACCATACAACAACAAAGGCCCACACTATGACATCTCGAGTGCTCATGATCGTGTCACTGGCAATGAAGCTACACGTGCCAATACTGCTGGCTTTGAACCCACTACAAATATTATGACCAACAAACCTAAGATAGTTGGGGGCAATGCAGCTAGCTTCACCGTGTTATCCAACTCTGATGCTTTCCTGCCATGTGAGGCGGTTGGGAATCCTGAGCCAGCTATAACTTGGAAACGCTTCTCCTCAACCACAGGTACATATACAATTGAATTAATGGAAGGTGAAAACGTAATTTAAATCTATGTGAAAACAACAAAAAACGCTACATTTTGTGTGTTTTGAATTTGTATCTGTTTCATTAATGGTGCAACAATTTAAATTACATTTGTTTATGAAATGGTATGTTTTCATGTTGCTTAGAATAACACATTGTTCTCTCTTCTTCAGGAAACATCGTTACTGTTAAGGGGAAGATGGGCAAGTTTGAGGTATTGAGCAATGGTACGCTGTTTATCCAGAATGCCAACATTAAGGATCGTGGCCAGTACATCTGTTTAGCTGAGAATGATTATGGATCAGATAAACTTTTTGTTACCCTGTCTGTGGTGGCCTACCCCTCACGCATCCTGGAGCCAAAAATACGTGAGATAAAGTCTCATGCAGGAAACACGGTTGAAATGAAATGTAGAGCAGAGGGTCGCCCCCTACCCATGTTGTCCTGGATCTTGGCCAACCGAACCCAGGTCAAAGGTCAAAACACAGAGAAGGGAAGGGTATCAGTGTCTGCTGACGGGACTCTGGTCATTGAGGAGGTGTCTGTTTATGACAGAGGTCATTATAAATGTATTGCCAGTAACCCAGCTGGGGCTGATACTGCTACAGTCCGTCTGCAGGTGGTGGCATCTCCCCCAGGTATTGTGGAGGAGAAACGGCAGCAGGTAAAAGTAGGTGTAAACCAACATTTGTGGCTACCATGTACTGGTCAAGGCAGCCCTCAACCTGCTATCCACTGGGTCCTCAATGATGGCTCCATGGTACAATCTAACAGACCTGCCACAAGGATATCAGTGTATGGAAATGGAACCCTACACATCAAGGATGTGACTCCAAAAGACAGTGGCAAGTTTGAATGTATTGCTACCAGCTCTACCGGCTCAGAGAGGAGGGTTGTGACCCTGACAGTAGAGAGGCAAGAGTCTGCACCTCAAATAGTGGAGACATCCCAGCGTGTGACAGTGTTGTTCTTTGAGGACCAGCTGAGACTGAACTGTTCAGCTACAGGAGACCCCAAACCCCAAATCCTATGGAGACTGCCTTCTAAAGCTATAGTGGACCAGTGGCACAGGTAAAAGAAAAATCCTCGATCAGTGGCAGTAAAGCACAGAAAAATAGCATTTACAGCAAACTTATAACTAAAAGCTAAAAGAGACATAACTAACATTTTGGATCCATAATTTCAAAACAGGCTTATTGTTTTTGGATATACTTCTGTGCTACAGGATTAAGTCATTATTCCATTTTGGTATTGACTCTTGGTTTATCCCCCCAATATAGAGAACAGATTTTATTTTGTTCTCATGGCTTTGTTAATTCTTTTTAGGTGGTAACAACAAACAGAGACATATTAAATCTTTGCAAGCATAATTCGTTTAAGTATAGCCAGGAATGAAAGTTTACTGATACTGTTCTGTAATACAAATGCCTCTTTTATTGCAGAAAAGATACCCACACTGTGACAAAAGTATGTGTAATTGTTGCTTGCCATGCACTGTGGTGAATGGTGCTTGCTTGTATTAAATTAGGTTTTATTCTTTCCTCCCCTCGTACTAAGTCTGTCTATTTTATGTCATTTGTTTTTTCAGGATGGGCAGTAGAATTCAGGTCCTGGATAATGGTACTCTTATTGTGACCGCTATAAGTGATAAAGATGCTGGAGACTATCTCTGTGTGGCGCGAAACAAGATTGGTGATGATCTCCATCTTATGAAGGTCAGTGTGTCAATGAAGGCAGCCAAGATAGAGCCGAAGCACTATGGAAAGAAGAAGGTACCCTTCGGTAACGACTTTAAGGTTGACTGTAAAGCATCAGGAGCACCAAAGCCAGAGATCTCCTGGGGTCTACCAGACGGTACAGTGGTCAACAGCGCTCTTCAATCTGATGCTAGCAGTGGACAAGCACGAGCACGGCGCTATACACTTTTTGACAATGGCACTCTCTACCTAAACCAGGTATGCAATTACATGTGATGTTACATCTTGATTAAAACAAATATCCAAAAGATTGACATCGCTTTGTTATGCTATTCCAGGTCAGTATGTCAGAAGAAGGGGACTACACATGCTATGCTGAGAACCAGGTGGGTAAGGATGAGATGCATTTACATATAACCGTGGTGACTGCTGCCCCAAGGATACGTTCAACTGGCCAGACATATGCAAGAGTGAAGCCTGGAGGGAACATCCGCTTTGACTGTGAAGCACTTGGGGAGCCCAAACCCAAAATCCTGTGGATGTTGCCCACCAACGATGTCATTGCAGCATCTAATGAACGCTACCTCATGCATGTCAATGGCTCGCTGGATATTAGGGATGTGAAGCTTATTGATGTTGGAGAGTATATCTGTATGGCTCGAAACCCTGCTGGAGAAAATAGAAAAGTCTACAAGCTTGATATGGAAGGAAATCCGCCAGTCATTAATGGCTACCGGCAGAACAGAACAGTAATCAAAGATGTCGCTGCCAAATACTCCAGGAAATTAATAGACTGTAACGCTGATGGCGATCCTATGCCTAGTATCACTTGGATTATGCCTGATAACATCTTTATAAAAGCACCATACTTTGGCAGCAGGATTAATGTCCACCATAATGGGACATTAGAGATTCGTAATGTGCGGCCAACTGATACAGCTGAGTTCATCTGCATGGCCAGGAATGATGGAGGAGAGGCAGTAATGGTGGTGCAGCTCGAGGTGAGCAGTATTCTCAGGAGGCCAATCTTCAAAAACCCTTTCAACGAACGTGTTGTGTCTCGCATTGGGAAAACCACAGTACTAAACTGTTCTGCTAGTGGGTACCCAATGCCAGAGATCAGTTGGACTTTGCCAAATGGAACGCGGTTGACTAGTGGCCATCCCCTAGTTAAAAATGGGACTTTAGTCATCTACAACCCTAGCAAAGAGAATGCGGGGAAGTACCGCTGTGGTGCAAAGAATTTCATGGGCTACATAGAGAAACTAATTATTTTGGATGTCGGACAGCCTTACATCCTTACAAGACCTAGAGGCGTAATACGCAGTGCTGCTGGAGAACCTCTTTTAATTCATTGTCTTTCTGATGGGAGTCCAAGACCCCACATTTACTGGACCATTCCTGGTGGCCACATTCTTACTCAGCCTCAAGTCTCTGGGCGCTTCCAGGTACTACAGAATGGTACTTTGATTGTTCAGGATACAACTATCCACGACCAAGGGAACTACATCTGCAGGGCGCGGAGCAGTGCTGGGGAGGCTGTGCTCACTGTTCCTGTTATCATCATCGCCTACCCTCCGCGGATCACAACAGGTCCACCGCCCAGTGTGAGGGGAGTGACCGGGACACCTATTCAGCTCAACTGTGCCGCCATTGGGATCCCCAAACCAGAGATAATCTGGGAGTTGCCCGATCATTCAGTTCTGTCAGCGGCAGACCAGGGTCGGCCCATGGGTAGCGAACTGCTCCACCCTCAGGGCACACTTATCATTCAGAGGCCCAAAGCCTCAGACTCTGGCACATACAAGTGCCAGGCCAAGAACCACCTGGGTACAGACTCAAAGGTCACATATGTGCGAATATTGTGAGAAAAAGACAATACCAATGGAGGACTATGGCACGACCAAGAGTAAACATCAACAGACACTTGTCCGTGAGGAATGGTGCAACGTTTCACATGTGGATTAAAGATGATTAAGGCTTCTGGAACATTGTTAAAAAAGTGACTAATTTGGATCAAAACAATTAACAGAACAGAAACTAAGCAGAGATTTTATAGGGAAAAAAACATGCTTTTTGTGAAAAGCCAGCCTGGGCAGGGAAGTTGTTGTTTTAACTTTGGATCTGGGGATCTGGAAAACCATAGGTGGTTCTCATTTGGGGTGGTTCTCATGGGAGCAAAACAGGCAGTGAATGAGTCGAACTTAAAGTGATTTCTCTGACCAGGCATTGCTGGCTGCGCATGGGGATACTATTACAATACATACAGAGAGGGAGAAAAAAGTGTATAAGAGATTGATGGAAAGAAAGAATTATCCCAAGAGGCTTTTTATTCCCTTCAGATATTGGCCAGATGTCATTGTTGTCACAACACAGGATTTGTTGTTTAGCATCAAATGAAAAAGACAGGCAGAGTACTGTATATGGTAAAGCATCTTTCAAGAGCTATTCATACAATTTTACAGTGGAAGTAAACAGATTTGTTGAACAGGAGGCTTGTTTTACACTGGATACATATCTGCATGGACCTTTATAACACCTGATTTCTGTATTATACTTTTTGATGACAGGTTTAAGGCAGATTTATTATGTTTATTCACAGTGCAGTGTATTGGTCAAAAACACACTTTCCTATCAATGTATTGTGTTGTACACAAGAATATACAGTAATGTTATACATTATGCTCATTTGTAATAATACAGTATATGTACCTATTTGTAGTATCTACTTTAACAGTATGAGAGACAAAATAAAATTCTAAAGAAAACATGGTTCATGTCTTTTTTATGTTTTATTTAATGATTTGATAAACCAACATCCTTTTCAATAAAGCATGCATCATATGAAACATCACAGGTGCACAGAACTGGCTGTTAGTGCTTGTATGCTATTCACATTGCAGTTGTAATGAAGGTCATTAGGATAATCCAGTTGTTCTTCACCCTACAAGAAGAAGGTCATGGCTCTGGTAGCAGTAGAAACCTTCCATACACAAACACTTTTAACTCCCCAGCTGTTAAAATAGTTCTTCACCCAGCTCTTCAATCTGCAAGACCCACAGGGGAGTCTTTTAATTTTTATGACTAAGTGTTGATTTGACTACCCTCCTACAAATTAAAAAGAGAGATAATGGAAACGTTTGAGACAGAAAGGGGGAAAATGGATGTACTCCTTTTTTGAAACTTATATTTTGAGAAAAGATAGAAATACATTACATGCAGCACAACAACTAAAACAATGACATTTGGTGAGAGTGAGATGCTTTACTATATAGCAATGATCTAACTACTAAAGTCCTTTTTAAAGGCATTACATGAGACAAATGCACTCCTATGCCTTAAAGGAAACAACTGGAACCCATTTCTCAGTAAATTGCCCCAATTGGTAATCTCCTGTAATGATGCTCATTTAAATGACGCAATAACTTCCTTTTTGCAAAGCCTCATAAATCAAGAAAACAAGAGTGAAAACCAAACAAACAAACAAGATCATTAATAAATTCTGTCCCATAAAAAATCATCGGTTAAAATATAATTTTGCGTTTAAATCTATTTATTGTATCTGAATGTTGTCGAGATTTATATAAATATTCAATTAAATTCTATAAATAATCTTTTTATATTTGGTTGCGTGCCATATTGCACATGTTTCTGATGAAGGTTTGTTACAGTCTTTTGACGATGCTGGAGTATAAAGCACAGTTTTAATCATTAAACAGGAAGTAATTCCAGTCGCCAGTCTTAGGGTGTATATTTTCCAATAAATCAATTTTTGAGATTTTCTCCAAAGTTTGCAGCAGTGTGATATGGCCGAGACAGACATGGGGAGAGAATGAATTTTCTTCCATAAACTTAGGAATGTAGACTTACTTGCTCCATAATTTAAGAGAACACTGCTTTTATAAAGGAGATGTGTGACAACCACCCACAAATAACACTAATGTTTAATTACCACTATATTCTTTATGGCTCTTCAATCTGAAAGACAGTTCATTCTTCACACCATTCATCCTTTGTGGATGGTGAGTTTATTTGTTCAGTTCTGGTTTTGCAGTTCATGTTTGGATATGTCCACTGACTTGGATATTTATGAGGATTTGTACGTTTTCCCCATTTGCTCCTGTCCCCTTGGGTCTTTAAAGTAAAAGAGTTACAGTTCAACACATATTATTTAAAATATGGTTTTATAAGAGGCTGCTGAAAGGAATGGTGTTTTTTTTGTATGAAGGTCCCCTTTACCAGGTCAAATCAACTGTTCTCCTGAACCTAATTTCTGGTCTGGTCGCAGCTGTTAAAGTGAGACATGGTAATATTAAGAGCTGTACTACTACGACCCTTTCACAAGATGAATAAACAAAACCTGTTTTTACACCAGAGGTAGGTAAAACTGTGGCCACTCCTTGGCCACCTCGAAGATTGTCGAAAAACAGACGAAATCTGCACATGATCAAATGCCTTCTTGCTGCGAAGATTGTCCTCATTACCTCACAGTTCACTCTCCAAGGGACAGAGATCAAATTGAGCAATATTTCCTGGAGGCAGCTTGTTGATTTTCACATGTAATTGCCTATATTTTGCCAACTTAACTTTAGACCACCTTTACCTCCAAAACGTTTCTACTATTTGTCAAACTACAGGGAAAATGTAACAATAGATGCTTTGTTCAACCAGCAATTCCTGCCTGAGTACTCTCCATGTTTCCATCCAACAGCAAAGCTGTCCATCTCCACTCCAGGAACCAATGTGAGGCCACATCTGTATAGTCACTCAAGTCAGTGATTCTAGTCAAATATCTTCTAAATTTTTTTTGTGATTTTCATATATTTATTTATTTATTTATTTAATCTTATACATGTTATTCATTCAAGGCCCCTATTTCTCAGTTGGAATTGAATTAGTTCTCTATATGATACTTAACCGTCAAGATCAGGGGTCTCAAACTCAAGGCCCGGGGCCAAATCCGGCCCGCGACTTCATTTTATGTGGCCCCGCAAGAGCTTGCAAAGAATATAATACGTTTATTATACGGTTACATGCCACTTTACAGAAGCAGGTTGCCCATAAACTACATGTCTCACAATGCATCTCGTTTTGTGACATGGCACTGAAGAGACTTGCAATTATTTGCCCTGGACTTCTGTTTTCAGACGTAGTTAATTACTAAGTTATTATCCTATCCGATAATAATCCAATTCAGAGGCAATAATGTAATATAATACATTATTTTATATATATATTATTATATTATTTGAGTGCAACCTTTATGCGAATGTGGCCCGCAATGAAATTGAGTTTGACACCCCTGGTCAAGATTGATAGTGATATTGAAATGTAGGAATTCTACTTAAATTGAATGTGCAATGTATGTTTTCATATATCTGGTTTAGAGTAATGCCTGAATTAATTATGACAAACTGAGGAAGATTTAGAGTTATGTGAGAAAAGAGAAAAGTAACGATGAAGTCGGTAGACGAGAAAAACAAGAGAAGGGTGAGATGTATTTCTCTCTGTGGTAGGAATTCCATACTTAAAGTTGAACGCGAGCAGTCTGAACATGGAAACTGAGATCTCAAGGGAGGATGCCTGGGAGCTCAGCAGTCTGAGACAGTACCTCTCTGTAAGCTCAGAGAGTCTGTCTTATTATTTTTGATGCTGCAAACTTGGCAACTAGTAAAATCCTCCAGAAAATGAAGTGAAGCACTTACTTCATTTTTGCTGCAATCCAAGCCTGTGTCTGGGAAACTATTTTCAAATAACCTAAGTGGGTTTTCCGTTACACCCCGGGTCTTGCTGATGCACACACACATTTGCTTGTACAGTATATCGGCATCTCCTTTAGTACCTCTGGTGTTGTTGGAATTTCACACCAGCTTTTCAGAATCCACACACCCACCTTCTGGCCACAAGTAAGACAGATTCATCTTTGCACCTCTCTCCCAGGTAGGATGTGTCATGCTGTGATAGTGGTTCCAAGTTTCTCAAACCCTTTCCTCCCCAGAGAAGACGCTGTTTTACCGATAGCATAACACGTTGACTATAAGAAAGGTAAAGGAAAGTTTCAGGTGTAATTTGTCACCTTGAATGAGAGCCCTCAAGGTTGTTGTCTTCTTCACATATTCCCTGTTAGTGTCAAAAGTGAGCCTTAAGCCAGGTAAAGGAGCCAGGTATAAGGACAAAGGTGTGATCATAAATCAAACCAATTGTAACCATAAATTGTCCAAAGCTAACAGTAAGTGGATACGGCAACCATTAAATCTAAGAAGTGCCTAATAAATAAAATAACAAGAAAGGCACACAGGTTTTGTATGTTTATCCTAAAGCATGGGATACACTTTTTAATGGGACCACATCCCTCAGTTTCTGTCCTGAGGGCAGTGGAAGTACGTCAGTGGGGGTTGTGAGAAGTGATCGGGTGCAGATGTGGTCCTTTAGACCCCAGAGAGTAACCAGGTGGACTGCTGGAGCCCACTGCTGTATACCTAACCTTCCTCACTTCAGTCACACAAACACCAAACTAAAAACATCAAAGCTATTTTAAATGATTGAGTCTCAAAGGGGGGGAAAGCTTTTAAACAAGCCAGCTCACCCAATTAGGCTGCATCAACACCGTGGCACTGCTACTTTACAGCAGAGGCTGGAGTTTCAGTCTGACAGGTTTAGCTTTTCCACAATACAAAGTTCACTGATAAATTAGTAAAGCTAAGTGGGATGAGTCTTTTTTTTATTGAAGCTTGCACATCTTTACTGAAATGAGGGAACAATGTCGTACACTTCTCTCTTCCCCCAGCTGTGAGAATTAAGTCTTCTGTATTTCTACTGTTTGATAGTTTCTCGTACTTTTTTGAAATGTTACCAGGACAAGAACACAAAGCCCAAGTTGGAGGTCTGTTGTGAAAAGAAAGTCAGGAATTTGCAAATTACATTCCTTCACTCAGACACATATGGGGTCAGCATTTCCTCTGTGCTTCTGGAAATAAAGTTTAATTTACCACTCTGCAGTAAAGTCAATGTGTAATTTAGATGCAATCTGGAGGAGCTGTAACACCGCTGAGGAAACACTAAACACCTATAAATAAAACAACGAGACAGGAGCAAGAGTCTTAGACTTGGACAGCACTGTGAAAAAGCTTTCTCAGATACTCGAGGATGTGTTTCCCATACAGACAATTTTGTAGAAATGTATTTTCCATGATTAGTATAAATGTGTTAGCTGTGATGTAATTATCTCTTAACTTTTTTAATGACAATATATGTTACCTATTGTCATGTATTCACACATAAAACATTTATAAAAATAGAACAAAAATAAAAAAAGTCTCATATCCTGTTATCCCAATGAGAACCAAGAGATGGCATCAAAAGCTCTAATAATTAAACTGTGTTACTTAGGGTTTAAATGTGAGGGTTTCAAAACATGTCCACATCAAGTGCCACAGTGAAGTCAATTTACATGACATCATTAAACCTCCTGCTGTGGTTTTCCTGCTCTACATGAATGTCTTAATGGCGCCCACCAACCTCAGATGATGCGATGATATCATAGGAAAAACAGACCCTCATTATAGCTCACCGGTTGTTACTAAAGTCACGTTTGCTTTTTGAATCATAGAAGTTGCTTTAGATATTCCCGTAAGCAGTTTTCTATCACCTACTTTTCTGACATATTGTTTTAATATTTAGTTTCAAGAAAACAATTGGAATGTCTTAGTTTCACAAACAAATACTTTGGTTCCGGCAAAATACCTTACAAGGTTTTTGTTATGGCTCTTCAGAATTAAGGCAGGGTATAGACACACGTTAGCTCATAAAGAAAGTCAGTTTCCATTTTTCTTTTTTTTCATCAAGTCCATTTTATCTACATATCCCCTAGAACCCCCCAAATCAAGCCCCTCTTCCCCAGAGGCTTCTTTTTCCTCAGATCAATCGCTGATGGGCTCAGAAATTGCATTCACAGTATTTTCCTCTCTTCTAGTTTTTCATGACATTGAACTTTCACACATATTAACAGCTGAAGCTGACACATTTGCCCTTGTCCTTTGGTCTATCTTCTGCCCCTCTGTGTGTACACAGGTATCTGCTGAGCAAACAGAGACAACCTGTCAAATATGCCAGGTATCTTAGACCGGCCAGCCCCTCAAAGGGAGCTGTTATCCCTTTTTTTCAAAATGTTCATGCCACAGCTCTGAATCCTGCTTTCTCCGGCCGCAGGGTGAGGGATTATTAGACAAACATCAGCACCCAGGATGAGAATGTAAAAGAGGAATGCCACTGCTGACAGGTGCCAGAGGCCCTCAAAAGCGGTTCCTGCTTTGGGTTAATTTAATTTTTCCTCATTACCAAGGTGACCATCGACTGCCTCACCACAGGGTGGTTGTGCTTTGAGCTAGTTTTCCATTGTAAAACAGTTTCGAGCATTCACACAAATTCCTATGACAATTGTCGCATTGACATGTAGAGTAGAGATGAGATCAGTGAGATTAAAGTTGTGGGCTATAAAACCACAGCTATAAAGAGGAAAACCCTAACACATTCTTGAGGAATGTGAAATTAGGCGATTGGGTGAGTTTGTCACTGAATGAGACCCTTGAGTGATTTGATCAATTGTTATTATTCCAACTTAATATTTGCAAAATGTCAAGAACTTGCACCAAACATATATGCAGTTTAAAATTACAACTAAATCTTGTGTCGAACTGGAGGGATACATTTGTGAAAAGAGGCCAGGTTGAATTTAGTAGGTCATTCACTGATCACTGATGGATATGCCAGACCGAAGAGATGAGCAGTGATTTGTAGCACTACCCAAATAAAAGCAGTTGCTAGGAAAACATCGATGTGAGCAATAACAATGAGGCTCAAGATGGAATCAACTACATCATTCACCGGTAGAAACTAAAGCTCAGATGCCAGTTGTGTGTGTGTGTGTGTTGGTGTGGGAGAGTGTGCGTGTTTGGGTGTGTGTAGGTGTCTGCAGTTTTGACACAGACGGTCAACACACCCATACTGGACACATGGGGCTCATGAGAAATGAAGGAATGTACTTAAGTCAGCAGTTACCGATGTAAAGCCCTCACAACGCCCCTAAAGAAGTCAAACTAGGAGCCATTTCAATACACTATTATCATCGGCTATGAATAATTATTTACACTCTCATGGTACATGACAGTAAATGTGGTTTCAGCCTCAATAAACGCTAGAATCACTTGGGCTCACACTTCTTTTTGGTTATATTCCCCTTCCCCTCCACACTGTATGAGCTGCTGTAGATTTGTCCATGTGGACTACCATATGGGAGGCAGACTCGCTGGAACCTACACAGAACAGCACACTAGCAGCAGTAGCCAAGGAAACCTTACACTGTCAAAACAAAGTGTGGCCCACACATTTCAACTATCCGAGTGGAAGCTAATTTGAAAGCCTGCCAATGGAAATGTACACACGTAAACATTCACACATAAAGACTAAAGACAGCCACAAACAAACCACGAGCAAGGACCACCCTGGTTACGTTTTTCGCGCTATGAGGTAATACGTTCCTAGTCTTACATCTTCCTACCTGTCACAGTGACAACATAATCAACTGTGGACTGTTTGTAAGGGTCAGGGGTCACAGTTCACCCGCATCAAACTTGTTTTTTAGACCACAGCTGTTACAGCTCTGTGTCTGTTTTTAGCTTGATGTTTGACTTCAAAGTTTCTTTCCATAACCTTTTCCATAACCTCATATTCACTGTTGTGAAAAAATACTCTCCAAAGGCCATGTAAAGACAGGGTTATTTTTGCACAAAGCAGGCCCACTAAAGCTAATACCCCACATGCAAAGAGGAAATGAAGTTTTTCCCCCCTGCACTCGTCAGCTACATCATCGCCACAGTAGCTGCCTTTAAGCAGGCATGTGGTCTGAGGTCAAGGGGGGTATGTGTGTGTGTGTGGTGTGTGTGTGTGTGTGTGTGTGTGTGTGTGTGTGTGTGTGTGTGTGTGTGTGTGTGTGTGTGTGTGTGTGTGTGTGTGTGTGTGTGTGTGTGTGTGTGTGTGTGTGTGTGTGTGTGTGTGTGTGTGTGTGTGTGTGTGTGTGTGTACGTTCTCTCTATTTCCTTCCCTCCTTTCTTCCTGTCTGTCTGGAAGAGAGCTGACAAGGATGTGTGTTTTTGTGTGTGTGCGTACTTTATATTGCAGCTTGCACGTGTGTGTCTGCAACTGTGCCTTCACACACAATTTGATTGTGCCTTTTTTGCAAATGATTAATGTCAATGTACAACTTTATTTCAAGAAGTAGGGTTACACAGTGTTCCCTTTCCTGGATAAATATGATATTAGAGCGTGCTTATCACACATGGACAATTGATTGATTGCTTGACCAACTCATATCAGACCTGAGGTGAAGCCACCGGCATTCGACAAGGAATAGAAGCAATAGAAAGAAGAAAAGTGGAACAATAGAGAGATTACCTAAAAGACATGCATATAGTTTTAAACTGAAAAGCAGCAGTGCTGTCAGGCCCTCTCAAGGAGAGCGCATTGATGCAGTAGCCTACTGATCAGACCCAGATGTTTAAGATCACAGCTGTGCGAAACATGACTGCATGTAAATATCAAGGATCATGTATATGACTAAATGTAGATGGTGTGAAAGGCTACAGCCTCTACAGAAAGAGCATGTGCATGTGCAGAGACATTCAGATAAGAATTTATTTGGGAAGTGAGTTCTGCTGACTTTGCCTATCTTGCCCTTGACGCAGTAAATGAGGCATTGCTGTGCTAACTCCTGGCACTCAATAGAAAGAAGGGCAGGAGGCCTTTAGGGTCATGTGACATGCAATATTACACCCAGAGTGATGGTTGATGTGACACAAAAGAGCACGTTTGTATCTTTACAAACAAGATTATACAGAAAACTATGCTCTGACACTGAACATAACTTCTGGGTAAATCCAGATTTTGTCTAATTTTTGTGATTTAGGAACAGGACTATGTTTGCAATGGGTTATAACTAATAACACTTTGGGGAAGTGTCCTCATGTTGTCTAGATCTAACGGTGAAACCACGAAAAATGGGAACAAATGTCTGTTTCACAACATGAACATGTTTTAGAGACCACACAGTGAATAACCTTCACAAACATTAGAAATTAGAGGAACATTTGAAAAATGAAAATGGAAAGTTTTGTTAGCAGTTAAGCCAAAAACTGTTTTATATGTTTTCCACTTTGAAACGGAAGGGTTTTACTGCCATATGCTCCCAATCTGTTTTTTGTTTAAAAGGAATTGCATTGTATTTTTGTAATAGTCTTATTTGTGCTTTAGTCACTTGAAAGTTAGCAACAATTAGTATTGCTTTATCCTAGTGCATGCTGGGATAGGCTGCAGTAAACGTTCACCTACAGTAGCAGAGGAACATGGTGCCAAATCAAGACAAGGATGTTCTTCAATGACTCATGATGTTACACATCCTTTTTATATTGCATGACCCTTACTGTTTCCTGTTTTTAATTCTCTGAAATGCAGAAGCAATGGAGATTACACAATAATTGTAACCAAATGTACAATAATTAGCTTGTATCATAAAGGAACAGTGAGGGGGTCACATATTAATAGTATCTTTCCACATTGTTTCAAACTGTTCAATATCAGAGAATCCACTTTAAAACACGTGTGCAACAAAAGCCCAGAATATAAAATGTGCTTAATAAAACCTAGATATTGGATTGGATTGAATTTTGGGCCTTGTTGGTGTTTATCCGATATGTTGTGCTTGTGTTTCACTTGTGTTTAATCATACACATAACTTAACTAAAGTATTTGTGTCTGTTGAAATAGATCTAGACGGTCTGCAGTCTTTCCTTGTGACAGGAAAGAAAATGGAGAAGGAAAAGAGAAAGTGTGTTCCTGCACACACACGCACTTGACAGAGGGTCAGTGTCACACCACATTTGTCGAGGACACAAAGAGAGAGGGACCAAAGAACTGCATTTGAATTTTGATTGGACTTCACTGACTCACATCAACACCTCTAACAGGTCAGGCACATAGTCAGATATATTGTAAATGTAATAAAAACCTCTTTAAAAACTGCTTTTAGGAATTTTATATGGTTAAATGCTTTTTATATTATTTTCTTTCAGACATTTCTCAACATACATTTAACATATGCACATTGTTATCTTAGATCGCTTTATAATGTTTGTGTTTTTAAACGTTTTTTTCCAACTTCTGTTCATTTGGTAATATACAGTAAATCCTTCACTTTATCATGACAAATGAATTAAGAAATGATCAGACTTAACTCCAAAGTCAAAATGTTGTTGGTATCTTTGTTTGTTTGAAATCATAATGAGAAACCAAAAGTTGTATTCAATTTTTCAGGCAACAGTCATGGAGACAAATGCAACTTCCCCCCCCGTCCCCTGGCAGTCACAGCTTCAACAACAGCACTTGTTCCCGTGACAACCTTCTGAAGACTGTGGTTTTTCCGGTTCTTTACTCCTTTCTCTTCCTGCTGGGGCTTGTGCTCAACGGCGTGGCTGTGTGGGTGTTTTTTCGCATCCCCTCAAAGTCTCACTTCATCATATACCTGAAGAATATTGTTGTTGCAGATGTCATCATGACCTTCACATTCCCTTTCAAGGTTTGTTTGAACTGGTACTCTTCATTTATGAGGCACACTTTCACTTTATTTAAGTTGTAACATATTACTTTATTATTGGCTATTTAACCAGATTAGTTTTCATCTTTCATCTTTTCATCATTAAGTGGGTCAGCCAGACATATTCAAGTCATTGATAAATACTCATGTGTTCTTTACTTTGGATTGGGCATACATGCTGCAGTTATAGATGGTAATAACTTGTTGATAGAGGGTTATAAACAGGGGTGCACATAACTGGTACGCAGGTACGCATGCGCGGCAACAATCTGAAATGCGTAACGTCACTTGTGTCACAACGCGCCTTTGCGTACCTGATAGGTCATCAAAACAAAACACATATTTCGCCTACACATGTTTCTTGTCAATACTCAGTGGAGTAAATTATTAGACATGTCCAAAAAAAACAAAGACATTAAGCAGCCACTTTGCCGTTTCGCTCCCTGCTAAAATCTTCAGACTTTCTATGACTGATTGAACTGGGTGCTGGCCGTGCCGCGCAGGACATAACCGACGGATCTGTGAAGCTTCACAGGAGGCAGAGGCTTAGATCACTGGACGACAGAGTTGGTCGCCGTGTGCACAGACGGAGCTGCTGTTAACGTCGGTGTGTACAACAGAATTGTACCAAAACTACGTCAACTGGCTGCGGTGGGAGACTCCCCTGTGCACATTCTGTGCCCCGCGCACACACTGGAGAACTGCGCAAAATCAGCTGATCACAACGTTCACGCTCTGTGGTCAAGCTGCTGCAGTTTTATTTACAAGAAAGTGGAGTAAAACACACAGCTGCAAACTTACTCAGGCTGTTAATGGAAGAGTTTGAAATCAGACAGAGGTGGAAGAAGTGTTACTCAAGTAAAATTAGAAAAGTATTATCATCAAAATCTAGTTAAAGTAGCGACAGTAAAAGTAGTCATTTTGCAGATTGGTCCATTTCATAATAATGTATATGATATGTTTTATAATTATTGATCATTAAAGTGTTTACAAATTAGTTTGAATGACTTTGTATACTGCAAGGTAGCTTGTGGATTTACTCCAGGTGGAACTAAAGTCTGATTTAACACTTGATTATATTTTCACATCATTCATCCACATCTGTAAAGTAACTAAAGGTATTAAATAAATGTAGTGGAAGAAAAGTACATGATTTACCTCTGAACTGTAGTGGAGTAGAAGTACAAAGTAGCATAAAATAGAAATACTCAAGTAAACTACAAGTATCTTAAATTGTACCTAAGTACAGTACTTGAATAAGTGTACTTTGTTACTTCCCACCTCTGAAATCAGATATGACTTCAAGTCATGTGATAATTTCTTAGTATTTGATCCTTCAACTTGGCCTCAGGAAATGCAAGGACTTCACAGTTTTGGCAACAAGTTTTGGAGAAAGCAAATTGGAGGCTTACAAAGAGACAGGGAGGTGCATCTTCATCATCTTCGTCATCTAGCATGCAAGAAGTGTAAATAGAGGACAGTGAAGGAGACACTGAGGAGGACAGTGAGGAAGACTGCACTTATTAACACCACGCTTCATGTGGGGTGAGTACCAAACGCTGTCTCCTGGTACTCATCTGAGTAACTCACTCAAAAAGTTATGTGCACACCTGGTTATAAACACACATTTCAACCTTATAAGTGGTATGATTTAAGGGTCAGGTGATTTTCAGTTTCTAAAATCCTGTTAGAAAATCTTTGGTATCCACAATTATAAATGTTGAAAAAATAATCGATCAAGTCTTCAGTTGGTAATTGTATTCAAAGGAAGTATTGAATAAATTGATTGTGCACCAGATACTCTGCAGCTAAAAAGATGAAGATAATGTCCAACGAAAGACAGATAACCAACTGAAACTACTTTTCACAACTTGGCAACCATTGTTGTAATTATTGGTGCATAATTGAGCTATAATACATTATAAAATGACTAGTATAAATTGAAAAATGACAATATTATTAAATAGCAAATAGAAAAGTCATAAGGTTTAACTTATAAATCCTTGATAAAGTGAGGGTTATAATGAAGTTGTTGACTGATCAACAAATATAATGCACAGTATGGCTTGTATTTAAATGCTTGGTGATCTTACTTTTTTATATTTAATGTTGTGTTCCTGCAGGTATTATCAGATTCCAACATGGCTTCCACCGGGCTGCGCATATTTGTGTGTCGGGTCTCCTCTGTGCTCTTCTACCTTACCATGTACATCAGCATCCTCTTCTTCGGCCTCATCAGCATCGATCGCTGCATAAAGACCCTCAGGCCCTTCAGGGGGACAAATGCAGCTCGATTGGTTCGTCGCAAGCTGCTTTCAGGAGCCATCTGGACCTTTCTGCTCGTTCTCTGTTTGCCCAATGTGATCCTGACATGTAAAACACCAACGTCTCCATATTTTAAGTGTGGGGACCTGAAGACAGAGGCTGGGCTGTACTGGCACCAGGTGGTCAATCATGTCTGTCAAGTTATTTTCTGGGGCAACCTGGTGACGGTGATAATATCCTACACTTTAATCACCAAAGAGCTGTACAGGTCCTACTCCCGCAGCACTGGAGGGACAGTAAGTCGAGCACCAAGTGGGGCCTCAACTCGGAAACCCCACCAGGCCAAAAGAAAAATGAGTGCAAATGTGTTCCTGGTTCTGGCAGTGTTCTTTGTGTGCTTTGTGCCTTTTCACTTCGCCCGCGTGCCGTACACCATGAGCCAGACCCAAGGGGTTCTCTTTGACTGTAAACTCAAACTCTTCTTCTTTCAGCTGAAGGAAAGTACGCTCTTCCTCTCTTCCTTAAACTCTGTTTTGGATCCTCTTATCTACTTTTTCCTCTGTAAGTCTTTCAGGACCACCTTGTTCAAGACCCTGCAACTGGCTCCTGGAACCTGCAGCAGGCTCACAGGGAGGGGCTCAGAGGACACAGTGAGCACTATCTGAGAGACTCTTCTGTCTGTACATCAAATCCACCGGACATGATGAAGACTTTTGTTTATAGTGTCTGTATGTACTGTGATGATGTCTTGTTTTCAAGTATTGGAAACAATTGTTTTGTTTCTATAATCAGAGAAATACAGGAGGTACAATATATTTCGTTAATTGTCATAATCAACATGCTGATCATCACAAAATGATAACACTATCTCTTTCAGTTTTATCATTGTTATTAAAAGCAATTCACTTTGAAGTAATTGTGTGTGGAAAGTACACACATATTGCCAAAGTTGAAACATTTGTAAAAATACTTTTTTTATTATATGTTTTTGCAGTCGTTGATTCATACATGAAAAACCAACACTGGTATGTTTTCTTTCAGTTCTGTATTCCACATTATAACTACATGAAGTTCCTCTTCTATGTTTTCATTTTTGCTCATTTGTAAAAGAATATACTATATTCCTATAATAAAAAAGTCAACCTGTAAATGAAAGTCTTTTAAATGATCTGATCTGTTACTTTTGCATGCTGCATGAAGGTATTGCTGTTTAGTGTAAGCATTCACTGATTCTTCAGGACAATCATATACAGTAGATAGTTGCTATGTGTGCATACATTACATTTATTTCTGTACAGTTTTGCTACTAAGACCCATCCTTATCTGAGTAAGTATAAAAAGAATACAGGGGTTTCCAAATGACTGGGTTATTTGACCGTTATTGCCTTATGTTACAACCACTTGCCAAACCATTGGAGCTTAGCGGTTTTAAATAAATTAATATAGAAACAAAAAAGAGGAAATATGGATATACTGTAGTGGCAATGTGGTTTATTGCTGTGCCTGTTGTGTGATATCATGCACATTTTCTTCCCTCTGGGAAAATACACTTGACGAGCTGTAAGCACTGTCACATCACTTGTCACACTCACTTAAAATATTTTGTTTGTGCAGAAAATATCAATCCTGAAATCCAATCCAATAAGTATTGGATTTCATAAATTGACCAATAAACATTTGAATTTTCTATAATGAAGTTTATCAATCAAGTAAATATGAAACAAGCAAAGCAAAAGAATGATTACAAGCTACAGCACATTGGAGTAGAGTGACTTGGGACAGATGTTCAAGCAGTGAAGCCGGATAACACATGGCTTACCAAAATCTATTTGATTTGAATCCTCTTTCCCCCATCAGCAACTCACTGCCCGACCACAGCAACTCATAGATTTGCATCTGTGTGGTGAAGTGGATGACACTGTGATGTGTTTTGTAAAGGTGTTCATCTAGCAGGCTACAGTGTGGAGTGAAGGAGCTAACCAATACTGGTGAGTCAATTCATAGAATGTATTGTTTCACTTTTTTAGAGAAAGCCTTTGATTGATGGAATATTCCATATAAGTCAAACTTTCTAACTGTTTAAAAAGCCTATATGATTTAGAAATGTAATAGCCTGGGAATAATGATCACTTTAATATGATATAGTTAACTGTATCCATTCTGAACAACTTAAGTTGGCCTTGACCAGTAAAATCTCTCAAAGTGACATTGTCTTAAGCATGAATACTGTGTGTGGACTATGGTCTAAATTATATATATATATATATATATATATTAGGGCTGTCAGTCGATTAAAATATTTAATCGCGATTAATCGCATGATTGTCCATAGTTAATCGCGATTAATCGCAAATTAATCGCACATTTTGTATCTGTTCTAAATGTACCTTAGAGGGATATTTTTCAAGTTTTTAATACTCTTATCAACATATGAGTGGACAACTATGCTTTATATGTTTGTTTATTATCATTTGAACAATGACAAATATTCTCATGAATATTAAACACAACAACCTCTGAACATTACAAATATTCGCCTCAATTCAACCTAGAACCTCTCTCATACAATAATACTGTGTGTGTGTGTGTGTGTGTGTGTGTGTGTGTGTGTGTGTGTGTGTGTGTGTGTGTGTGTGTGTGTGTGTGTGTGTGTGTGTGTGTGTGTGTGTGAATGTGGAGGATCGTTGGAGCTATGTGCAGCTCAAGGCATATATGCCTGTGTGTATGAGCTGTGTTGCGGCACTATCCGTGCTGAGTGTGCTGTCTGGCTACCTGCATAAAGTCAAGTGCTCGGCGCAGTTGTCGGCGAAATGTCGCTCCTCTGTTTTCATTGAAACAGCTCCTTATATCCGTTAGCTCAGCTAGCTAGCACCAGATGCTAACAACAACACGTAAGGTGTGCTTCGCTCGCGCCACACATACACACACCCTCCCGGTCCTCCCGATGGCCAGTCCGGTCCTCCCGATGGCCAGTCCGGGCCTGCCGGTGAGCGTGGAAGTGTGGTCTGCCACAAGCGGGCAGCAGGAGCGGGGCTGTCAGCATCAGCTTGTAGATGGTATTTTAAACTCGATGCGCTCTGAAACTACGGCGGCCGAGGACAAAAAATACACATGCGTTAATCGCGTTAAAATAATTAGTGGCGTTAATTTTCTTTTGCGTTAACGCGTTAACTTGACAGCCCTAATATATATATATATATATATATATATATATATATATATATATATACTGTATAACTTAACCACATTTGTATCTATGTTCTTACATTTCTGTAATGATGTTTGGAAAAATGCAGCTATCCCATACTGTCAATATACTGAAAAGGTAAATCCAGGTAAAACTCTAAATGATAAAACCTAAATCAAAACCTTTTACAAGGTAAACACATATCTATTGTGAAAGGGGGGGCTTTGCTAACCAGGCTCTAAAAGGCATTTCAGTGTTGTATACACATGTGATAAAACAACTATAATATGTTTTATGTTTTTGTTTTTCACTTTACTTACTATGTTGAAAACAGATCCAACAACTTCTGTCAGTCAGTGTAAAGAGTGTAAGTGTCAGGTTTAGTGTCAAGGATGCATTCAAATGCACTGGTTAAGCATTCAAAATCAATTCATAGTAGCAAATGTCTTTTAAACCATAATGACAAATGCAAATCAGGTTCAACCATACATTTAAAACAGTAGTTGTTCTAAGTCTTAAACAAATCATGGGCAGGGAGAAACATAACACAGCGCTCTGGTCTTCACCTCAGCGACACATTTGCTTTGAACCCCCTATATATCTTACTCACACCACTAAATCAATACCAATAAACCCTTCTAGCAATTGATAAAAGCTACTCATTTCACTTCCAAATGTGTTCAATCAAAAGCAACATATCTGGATGTAGGTCTTGCTTACAGAACCTATTGAGAATTTTCAATTTTAATGTCCGATCACAGTTGTCACAAAGTTCAAATTATTTTTTATTAAGTTTTTCTATGATGTCTGTTTGATTCTTTGATTCCAGATGGTATGATGGTGTCCAACAACACAGCAGCCTTCTCCTCTGGTTGTGCATCTATCAACCCTGTGACAGCAGATATGGCTGTCTCCTACCTTTACTTGTTCATGTTCCCTATTGCACTATTGCTGAATGGGGTAGCAGCATGGGTGTCTTTGCACCTCCGGTCCACATCCACATTCATAGTGTATCTGAAAAACCTGGTAGCTGCTGACCTGCTGATGACCCTGACGCTCCCGGTAATGGCAGCTAGCATGCTACCTGGAGCATCAATTCAGTTAAGGGCTTTCGCTTGCCGCTACTCTAATGTCATTTTCTACTGCTGTTTGTACACAAGTATTGCTTTAATAGGTCTTATCAGCCTTGACCGCTTCTTCAAAATTGTTAGACCATGCGGCAAGTTCCTGGGACAAAATGTGATCTTCAGTTTTGTCATGTCCACCTTGGTTTGGGTTGGGATATTTGGTGGTACGGCCATCCCAACTATCATTCTAACAGACCAGAATCCTGTTAATACAACAGGAGATTTCTGTGATTCCCTAAAGAGTTCGGCTGGAGTGACTCTCAACACATTTGTGGTTCTATCTATGGAGAGTCTCTTTTGGCTTGTCAGCATAGTGATTGTGTTTTGCTACATCTGCATCACCCTGAAAGTCCTGCAGTCCTTCAGAAACTCTGGGAGCAACAACAGCCACGGAAAGACGAAGACCAAGCTGCGAGTCTTCCTGATCCTTCTTGTGTTTTTCGTGTGTTTTGTGCCTCTTCACGTTTTGCGTGTTCCGGTAACAATGGATGAAGAAATTGATGACTGTGTTAAAATGTGGGTGACGATTATCCATAAATTGTTCCTGTGGGTCTCTGCTACTAATTCCTGCCTGGACCCTCTTCTGTACATCTGCCTGTGCAGGGAGTACAGAGAGAAGCTGGTTGAACTGATGAAAGCTCGAGGAAATCTGTGTAGGGTTATATTCAGGTAAAAATGCAGATGATTCCAAATCGAAAGAATAATGATTAGTCATAAATACATTAGAGATAAATATGATATTTTTAGTCACACATTAGGCTGTTGCAGTCTTTCAGCATTGATCGGTATGTTGTACTGCCCTCTAGTGGCCGGATAGGGATTAGCACATGTTAAGACTAAAGGTCTATTAAGAGAGAGAAACATGGTAGAAAGCAGTGAGATACAACCTATAATAAAAGCGCTAGGCAAATGTATTCTTCATTTTTCTAAATGTACTGAGTTTAACCATTTTAACACACACATATGTCAAGTCTCAGAGTTGTGCGTTCTTTTTTAAATGTAAGTATATTTAATCTTTCTACCCACTTTTCTATTCCCATATTCAGTTGTTATTGTTGGACCTGTATATCAATACATGTTTATTTAAAGATGTAATTTGTTTATTTTCTTGTGAAAGGGTCACTTTGATATACTGTAGTGTTAGTATAAGCCAATTGTTTCAGTAAAGATATATTACCAAAGCGTTACAGAATTAAAAGGAACAGTGTGAATCAGCTGAACTCAGTGTATTTCTTTCTGCTGCAAGAACATCATTGGCATCTTACAAAGTTCCGACCTATTTCAAGTCTTTAAATGAATGGTTACATAAAAATATTCTCTTTAAATCTTGTTAATCCAACTTTTTATTTTTTATTTAACCTTTATTTAACCAGATAAAAACATTGAGATAACATCTAATTTTCAATGCTGACCTGGCCAAGAAGGCAGCAACGTTACACATAACACATAACACAAACATATAAAATACAGAGAACATAACTAAGAAAACAAAAGACGAAAAAGCAGTCACGACATTGTGCACATTAGGACAGTATAGTACACTACTTGTTACTGCAAGAGCAGCTGGTGGTGAGGACTTCAGACAACTTCAATTTAAAACATGCTATAGAGACAAGTGCCCTCAGTTTGAGGGTTGATTGAAGGTCATTCCAAGACCAAGGACCATAATAAGAAAGACTCCTTTTTCCAGCCTCAGTCCGCACAGCAGGTACCTGGAACCGTATCCAGGCACTGGATCTGAGGTTGTAAGAGTCACAAACTGGGGCAAATCTGGCACATATGTACAGTGGAAGCTTACCTAAAATGGCTTTATACATTAATAAAAACCAGTGCTGCATCCTACGCATAGTAAGTGAGGACCATCCAGTTAGGCTATACAGTTTGCAATGATGAGTCCTATAGGGTGCATTTGATATATAACGCTGTGCAGCATGGTAGAGTGGGTCAAGTTTGGCCAAAACAGTGGGACAGGCAAATCTATAAATGGTATCACCGTAGTCCAGCTGGGACAGGAATAAGCCAGAGACCAACCTTTTACGGGATGAAGTTGAAAAACAACATTTAAGTCTGAAAAGGAAGCCAAGAGTGAATTTCAATTTCTTTGTTAAAACTTCAATGTGGTGTTTAAAGTTCAGATTACTGTCCAACCAAAAGCCCAGATATTTGTAGGTATCAACAAACTCAACAGAAAGGCCATCAAGGGTGTCACCTCAGTATTCTAGAGTCCAATAATAATTGCGGTTACTTTCCCATACCACATATTTTTAATGAATTAGATTGAAATGAAATTGAAACCCAGCCTCCTATATACATCTTCTTGGAAGCTATTGCATCTTCTTTATTTAACAACAAGCTCCTGTGTCTCCTATGGGACTCTTTGTGAGACATTTGGTCAAATGATGCCACTTCCTGCAGAATCAGCTCTATAATGTTTGCAGGAACAAACATCCAAGAAAACAGGTATTAAAAAACACATGAGGATCAACAAATCATCAACATCTCTCAGAGGTCAAGTTGACTTGCTTTTACTGCTTACAAACAACACAATGATGGTGAGTGTGGAAACAAATGTTGTGTATTTTGCTTTCTAAATTATGCTCAGAGCTTAGGACAGGAACATTTGGTGTGCAAATGAGGATGTATTATGTTAGAGGTTAGGTCAAATGTTCTGTAAACATATTAAATGCTTATAGCTCCATTTAGAAATGGTGACGCCTAAAGTACATGTGCATAACAAAGGGAGCAGGGGTGGCCTGAATCAAAACCTTCCATTCATCCAATTTCTCATTGGTGTTTCCTCTGCAGGCTGTCTGCCATATGATGTATGCTCTTGTCTAAGGACCAGGGAGTTTTCCCTATTTTTGCATGAGTCCTGATACATTGCCAGTCTTACCACAGCTGAATCGTTGATGTGTTTTCTAGGGAAATCCTTAAGTTCCTTAACACCTACCATGTCAGTTTACATTGTCAGGTCCATCTTGCAGCTTTGCGTTTGACTAGAGTGACTCAAGTCTTCAACTGTAAGTACTGAATATCAGAATATATGTTATTTGTATCATTTTTTCAAAATGTAGTATTAATGATAGCTGAATCTAAGACAAATATTTGTACATATCTTTATTAAAGAAAAACCGGAATTACAACATACTATGATACAAGTAGAGCATAGTATTTGGACAAGTGACAAATATTATTGTTACTTCTTAACCTGATTTTAAAGTCTAAAATAACATTAAAGCCTTGCTTGAGTATTTGTTTTCAGAATGTCTCTGTTATTTATACTTTTTTTTTTAATTAGATTTTTAAGTGAGTGTTAAAATATCTATTTGTGATAAAAGGATTGGTTGAAAACAAATGTATTTACACAACCATGTAGTAAACACCACCCTTTTCTTTGCTTAGCCTGCAGCTCTGAGTTGGATAAGTACCGGATAGTGGATCCTCCCTTTGACAGTAAGCAGCAGAGTGAGTGGAGAAATTGAGAAATGGAAAACAGAATAACAAGCTACATGTAACTCAGATAAATGATTTGCTGTTAAATGATTTCTCTGTGACACTAATTAAATTACAAAAATTGCCAATGGTTTAAATTATTTTTGCACTTATTCAGATGGACAGTGTGTTTAAAATGCATGATGCATAACCTACATGAAGACGATATTAAATACCCGCTACTAAAATGTATTTTAAACTTTTCCATTCTCCTCAGGTGCAGAGATGACATGGAATCAAAGAACTCACAATGTGTCAGAGTGTGAAAGCTTTCCTAACAACCAAAATGTGGTCACAGCGCTTTACTTTGTGATGTTCCCCTTAGCTTTGTTGCTGAATGGTGTGGCAGCCTGGGTGTCTCTGCACCTCAAGTCCACCTCTAACTTTGTGGTGTATCTGAAGAATCTGGTGGCTGCTGACATTATTATGACCTTAATCACGCCAATCAAAGCTGCACGAGACTTGCAGGATGTGCCGAAAACATTATACATTCTCTCATGTTATCTCAGTGCTGTTTTCTACAGTACACTGTACGTCTGTGTCGCTTTTCTGGGTTGTATCAGTCTGGACCGTTTCTTCAAGATCATGAGACCTAACAGCAAGTTGTTTAGTCAGAATCTGATCTTCAGCAAAGTTGTATCAGGCTTAATTTGGGTAACCGTTTTTGGAAGCACAGCTTTACCAAATATATATTTTAGTAAGTTGGTGACCAATATGACAGAGATCAGCTCTTGTATGATACTGAAAGAACCGGTTGGACTTCAAATCCATGAAGTGATTGTGATCTTCCAGAATGCTTTCTTCTGGATTGTCAGTGTGGTCCTTGCTGTTTGCTACATCTCCATTGCAAACAAGGTAATCCAGTCTTTTCGGAACTCTGGCAGCAGCAACAACCAGGGACAGAAGAAGATCAAACTCCGTGTATTTCTAGTTGTTGTTGTGTTTTTTGTGTCATTTGGACCATACCATATTGTAAGGATCCCTTACACTTTCCAACAAGTTAACTATTCTTCTTTTACCGTCTGCAATATTTTAAGCAGTAAGTTTACCAAGGAAATCAGCCTCTGGCTTGCCAGCACAAACATCTGCGTGGTCCCAATTCTCTATGTGTTTCTGTGTCGGGAGTTCAAGGAGAAACTGGTTTCTATGATAACAAATGTGTCCATCTCATTCAAAGCCTCAGCAGACAAAGCTAAAGGCATTACACCACAAAGGTCATGAACATGCTTTTTTAAGATCTGGGCTCAGAAAGGTCAAGATATTGTTTCACACATACAATGTTGTGCATGTAGTTTAGTGTTGATGTTGTGGTGTGAGGTTTTTTGTCTTGTCAGTGTGCTGCTCTGGCTAGAAAAACATTTACAGGAAATACAATAAGGTTGGATGAGATAAACAGTATGAAACAATAGGGTGTTGTTATTATGATGTTTTTTTATGTCACAGTTTTGTATTGTGTCTGTAAGTTTAAACCATTAGGTGAATAGAGTTTTAAAAGAGAGACTGTAAATGAGGATTCCATGCAAAGCAAGTTAGAAGAAAAAAAAGTTAACATTTGCATCTCAAACTGAAGACCTCAAATGTTTGTGGTGACAGTAAAAATAGCTCATGTCTTGTACAGTATACGTTTCTTCAGATGTGCAATGTGTCCATTGGCCGGCTTGCTTGGCAGCATGTTAATAAGCGCAACATGAAAGGTTATTGCAAAGAATACATTTGTTTTATTTATGTATATTAAGCTGCAACAAATAAATAAAGTAAAGTGAATAATAAAGCATGCTGTAAATCTTAAGAGTTGTTGTAATCATTCCTAAATAAACATTACACAGAGGTGCGATTCTGCTCAGTACTATAACCAACACCTTTCCCATTAATAATTATTTCAGTTGAGTTAACTTTTTCAACCACTGAACAGACCCTACAGGGTTTGCTGAGTTTTAAATTCTGCAACAGAAACCAGGCTGCAGGGAAATGTGGTAATATGGAAATTCTTTCTTGACAGTGTGATTTTTACTAAAAGATGATGTGACCTGATCATTTTGATTATGTATTACAGCAAGTAAATTGTGAGTTCACTTGAGGAACTACAGTAAAGAAAATGCGTGTGACTTCTCAGCAAATGCTATCCCCTCTGACATTATTTCTGGCAGAGATCTGAGCATAATCTCACAGGAAATCATGTTGTGTTCTCAAAATGCACTATTTTTTATCAAGACAGCACTAAAGGGAATCGTAGAAAGCAGATATATGCTATCTCAAAAACAGGCTTACAGATGTATGAAATTGTGGTCTTAGTAGTAAATGAAATAAACACTATACAATTACACAAGTACATACAAAAAAAACCCTATTTGTAAATGTGTTGCCCCTTCTGCTTTGGTATAGCTTGCATTTATTGTAAATGAGTTAACCATGCAACCACAATTTTATGAGAAGTCAGCAGCGCAATATTCACGTCTCTTGTTTTGCTTATGTCTCTGTGGTTAGGCACAGTGTCACAATAAGAGAAGACATATAAAAGTGTGTTAAATAAGCTGCAGGATGGAGGGGGGGCAGTGTGGTGCAGGAGGTCTCTAGATGTGTATCGAGAAATGAGTCCATGGCTTTGGTGTTTGCCTGTCAATAGCCAGCCTGACGCAAGCTAGCGGAGGCAGGGGGACTGGCACGGAGCAGAACAAGCCTCTCAGCAGACAATTGGAACAGGAAGCAAGGAAGGAAAGGGTCTTTCACCCGGAGGAAGACTGGCAAACTCCTTGGGATTGTGACAAGACAGCCACACAGTAACTCCAGAGACCACCCATTGTAAGAGCATCAAACACACACACACACACACACACACACACACACACACACACACACACACACACACACACACACACACACACACACACACACACACACACACACACACACACACACACACACACACACACACACACACACACACACACACACACACACACTTAAAGACAGCGAGAGAGAAATACTGAGGAAGCAGAGCAGCTTAAACTTCTTTAGGTCAGAAGTACTATTTCTTAATAGATTAAATATTTTAGAATTTCATTCAGCAATTTGGGGTTTTCTTTTGTTACATTTCCTTCCTGTAGGTAAGAAGAGGAAAGGGAAATAGGATATTTCACTTGTTCCTTTTTTTAAGCACTGCAGTTCTTCATTGCTTCATTGACACAGTAAGAAGGTAAGACTCAATTATTGACTTTACAAGTTCCTCTCCTAGATAGATTACCAATCTTAACTGGGAAAAGGATATATATAATTGTTGTAACAGAGCTTATTAACATTAGCATTTACACTTACATGTTTAGAGTATATCTTGGTTGCCATAGTATTTAGTGTAATTCTAAACTGTTAAGTGTTTCGCAAATATACTGTCAGTCGGAAAACAATGCAGAATGAACAAATGCAAAGGTCTGATGCCTAAATCACTGTATATTTGGTGTATCTGCACTCCTACTGTTCATTTTAGTTTGCATTATTACTACTGTAGTAGGAACTGACAGAACTATTAGCTCTACTTGGTAACCCCTATTCTAAATATTTTTGTTTCAATACAGCGGTGACCCTGGGTTTAGTTTATATCTGAAAAAAAAGTATTTGTTTGTTCCTGAAAGGGTCAGATTGAACTTTACTTGGTGAATTAAGATAAAAAGAACTACATTTTCAGAGTTAAGCCCTAAAAGATATAAAAGAAAGAGAAACATTTATCATGAAAGGTAATTCAGCTACAGTTCTTCTTTCTAGGACAAGCTCTAAGAGGAAATGGCATTTTTGTATTTACTGAAAAAGAAACATTACACTGTTCCTCTTTATGTGACTCAATTGAGTATTTTACAATTTAACAATCTTACTTTCGTTTTATCTTCTCTCCTCTGCTCTCAGAAGGTGTAGCGAAGATCTGAAGATGAACAACACCCTGTCAAACACTTCAATGAAGTGTGTTCGGGATACCAGTGTGACAGCTGTGGTGTTCCCCTGTCTCTACAGCATCTTATTTATAGTTGCCCTGATACTGAATTCCCTGGCTGCATGGATCTTCTTCAGCATCCCCAGCTCCTCAACATTTGTGGTCTTTCTAAAAAATGTGGTAAGACTTTTGCTTAATATAGTTTGTCTACGCCGTTCAAAAAAACTAAAAACATAACCCTCCTTCATTACCAGGTCGTGGCTGACTTGCTGATGACCCTGACCATCCCTCTGAGAGTCTTAAGTGATGCTGGTGTGGGTTCCTTATATCTACGCGCCTTCCACTGCCGATACTCTGCAGTTCTCTTCTACATCACCATGTACATCAGCATCCTCTTGCTAGGCCTCATCAGCCTGGACCGCTACCTGAAGATAGTCAGGCCATTTGGGAAGTGTGCCCTGCAGCGGGTTCGTGTTGGTCAGCTGCTGAGTGCAGCTGTCTGGGTGGTCATGCTAGCGTTAGCATTACCCAACGTTATTCTAAGTGACCAGCCTCCACGCGGCCCTGGAGGCAGACTGAAGTGCACCTCTATGAAGAGCAACGCTGGTATGCTCTGGCATGCAGGATTCAACTACTTCTGTCAGGTAGCTATAAAGTAGAGGAATACTACTAAACTTTTTCAAAGTATGATTTTTGTATAGATGTCAAGATGTTAAGTGCGATTTAGAGGTATAGGTATCTAGATGTTCTTATTGGACAGAGTCAATGTAGCTGTTTTTAACCGTTGTGCTAACCCAGGGGTCGGCAACCCGCGGCTCTCGAGCCGCCTTGAGCTTAGACAAAAATATGAAGGAAATAAAATACAAATATTTGTAGGACTATTTATATTTTGTTGCACGGTTGAAAATGTTTCGTATCTTGTATTTTGAGGTGATACTGTGACACATAAAAAAAATTAAAAAACGGTTTTAATTAGGTCAACTAAAATATGCGTCACATCCTGCTACGGTTCCGCACCAGCACCTTTTCTTGCAGGCGAATAACCTGACCCCCGGCTCGATGAGCGAACTATTGATAAATCAAAGAAAAGAAAAGTATCGGAGGGACACAGAGGGTTTAATTCTGGTGGTTAGAGTTATGCTTTCACAGCAAACGATGCTGGCTTACCGGTATGTTTGATATGTGGAGAGAAGTTGTCAAACGTATTGGAGGAAAAACACGGAAGAGGAAGACAGCTGACGATCTTCAGTCATAATTCAATCAGTTAACTCTTTTTAGGGTGCAGGCAGCAAGGGTGTAACTTTGGTTTGAGAAGTGGGGGGGACACAAAACAGGGGGTCCTCCGCAGTGAAACATTGTTCTCGATTTAATTCCATTTCCTGCCTTTCTACAAATATATTAGGGACTATGGCATTAACTAATCCAAGAAAAATGTGTAGTGTATATAATGAGTGTGCAAACCTATCTAGTATCCTATCCATGTGAACATGTTTTATTTGTGATGACTTCACATCCTCTAGGGGGGTCCGGGGGCATGCACCCCCGGGAAGAGTTTTTTCTTTAAATTTAAGTTAAAGGCATCAATCTGGTGCACAAATTAAGAGATTTATGGATACAGCTCTCAACACTCATATGAAACGTCGGGTTACGTATTGTAACCCTTGTTATATAAACACAGGCGGAGCCCTCTACTGGACTCTATGGGTACTACCCTATCATGCAAGCATTCACCTACTGAGATTTCTATAGACGTAGCCGGCCCCGGGGCGGGCTTCCCTGAATGCATGCGCATCTCACTTCCGTATAAAAGGAGGCCTCGCCTCCTGACCACTACCCTACACCACTCTTTAGCGAGCGGTATAGGACAGACAGTGCCCCCAAGGTAGAGGGCTCCGCCTGTGTTTATATAACAAGGGTTACAATACGTAACCCGACGTTATATCTCTCACAGGCTCCGCCCTCTACTGGACTCTATGGGTACAGTGGGCGGAGCCCCGATGTATGCACGCACTGTCGTCCATCACACCGTTCCACCTCACTGTCCCTGACCGGCTTTAGCAGCCACTGCGCCTCACTCACCTCTCCCTCGGTTGTAACCGTGGAGAAGTCCGGGCTGCGGCCGATAGAGCACACCCTGACGCGCTTGCCTCGCAAAAAAGTGTGCTCAAAAATAGTGCTGAGGACTCCCGTGCGTCTGCCCATAGGCAGACAGGGAAAGTCCGCAGCCCTGTATGGGTTCACTATGCACTCTCCCTCCTGAGTCCCTAAAGAGCACGGGGAGAACGCAAGTGCCCCCTATGTC